TACAGTATAGTTACTCAACGATACAACTGTGAGAGACAGTACTGAAATATATATTTTCCCTGTGTTTCCTTCCTGCTGTGTGAGCTACTGAAATGAGCCGCACTGTGAAACAGCCAATCAGAGCAGAGCTCAACATTGAGCCGCACTGTGAAACAGCCAATCAGAGCAGAGCTCAACATTGAGCCGCACTGTGAAACAGCTAATCAGAGCAGAACTCAACATTATTATTCATGACCCTTCCAAATAAGGTAAAAACAGACCATTTCATTCTAGGGACAAATCCTAGGGTTGTAAATGGACATGTAAAACCGTTTCTGGAGATTTTTTGCCCTTACCTAAACCACATACCTTCTATGTAGATATCAGAGAACAATTTAAAATATTGTATCAATGCATTCTATGGCACCTTTAAACTGAACTAAAACTAAGACTGAAATTAGTAGTATTAGAATAAATGTGAACAATAAGCCCTAAAAAAATTTATTTTAATTCTTAAGGCAAATCATTTATTGTTAAATTGCTCTGTACATCAGTAGAAATATTTATTTTGTGAATATTTAAGGATGGGTTTAACAAACCAATGGAGACATTTGATTATATTATTAAAAGCAAACTGTTCAGTTCATTTTTCCCCCAAGTTCCTTCCTATTTTGAGTTAATTGGGACTTTGACTCTATTTTCATAATGTGATTGGTCAGATTAACCAGCAGTGAAATCTTCCATTGCCAAAGGCATCTCACTCAAATTTCCACACAAAACCAGACACAAAAAACTGTGAAGCAATTTGCAAAAAGAAGCAATATATATTTTATTGCAATGTTATGTACATATTTACAGTTAAAGTGTGATACAGCAGCTAGGTGGCACTGCAGAACACTCGGATTGCACTGCTACAGGTTAGGCCACTGCTGCCGTTTCCATGGCGGCCGGACTTGTCTTTGGCTTGAGTGGACAACAGATTATTACCCATGAGCCCCTCAGAGTACCAGCTTTCTGTTACTCAAGGTTGCTTACATAAATATGGCTTTTTGCTCAATTAATAGCCCCAAAATTGTTGTGAAATGCCACAAATGCCATTATTACACACACACACACACACACACACACACACAAAAGACAGTATGTTTTAGGCATGAGACATTCAGTGACTCTCAACACTGCAAATATTTGTTGACAATTGTATGCCCATAGGATGCCCTCAGCAATACATACAACAGTTTGAAAGACATCTAGATAAAGAGCGGAGAATATGATTATGAAGGTGTGAGTGGAGCAAACATTGTGAGAGAGGAAATAGAGGCAGAAATCCCTTCCCTTCGAGGTTAGAGATGGCTGGGTGATTAGTGACCCACAACTCTGTGCTGAAACAGACTCTGCCATATATAAATATATAACAATGTGTGGAAGCCTGTTAAATCCGTCCTGTCAGGGTTCATCTCTGGGGAGAGAGGAGTGGGAACAGATTACTGGTGAGAAAGCTTAGAAAACCAATTCTATCGCTCGCAGTTAGAGTATAGGGAACCGCGCACCCAGGAGAAGACCATAATCTGCCTCGGGCACGGATTTCGCCCCAGATTTCAGTGCCAGACCAAAAATCCTCTTTCTGTCAATGCCCAAAAGAAAAAAAAAAGTAATGCTAAAACCGACCTTTAACCTTTATAAATAAAAAGAGGGAGAGGTAGAGGCGATATCTGGCTGTGCCATAAACAGCTGGTAAATGTGATTTTCCTAATGACAAGTTAATCTACTTGAATCCTCTGTGACATAACAGCGCTTCCTCTCAGAGAGGAAAGAACTGATACGGCATCACAGGAAAATACTGAATCTTTAAATATCATTGGGCCTAATGCTGCCTTTAGATCATGTCAGGATGATCTTTTTTTTGGGGGGGGGGGTCTCATTTTCTAACATTTTTTCAACTCATTTCGTAATCATTGTTAGGAAGTACATCTTTTGGATTCATAAATACAAATGTTCCTGCACTTAAAGGCAGTGGCGGCTCATCGGGGGAGGCACAGCTTCCCCTAAATTTTGAGGTGAAAATGGGAGGAGGACGATTTAATGTTAATAAAATTAATTACAATTCATTTCATGTCTCAGAATGTGTATTTTTTGTTTGTAATTTCACAATTGTAATACCATAATGTGAATTGCTGATTTTCTATCTCCGTCCTGTCAGGGTTCATCTCTGGGGAGAGAGGAGTGGGAACAGATTACTGGTGAGAAAGCTTAGAAAACCAATTCTATCGCTCGCAGTTAGAGTATAGGGAACCGCGCACCCAGGAGAAGACCATAATCTGCCTCGGGCACGGATTTCGCCCCAGATTTCAGTGCCAGACCAAAAATCCTCTTTCTGTCAATGCCCAAAAGAAAAAAAAAAGTAATGCTAAAACCGACCTTTAACCTTTATAAATAAAAAGAGGGAGAGGTAGAGGCGATATCTGGCTGTGCCATAAACAGCTGGTAAATGTGATTTTCCTAATGACAAGTTAATCTACTTGAATCCTCTGTGACATAACAGCGCTTCCTCTCAGAGAGGAAAGAACTGATACGGCATCACAGGAAAATACTGAATCTTTAAATATCATTGGGCCTAATGCTGCCTTTAGATCATGTCAGGATGATCTTTTTTTTGGGGGGGGGGGTCTCATTTTCTAACATTTTTTCAACTCATTTCGTAATCATTGTTAGGAAGTACATCTTTTGGATTCATAAATACAAATGTTCCTGCACTTAAAGGCAGTGGCGGCTCATCGGGGGAGGCACAGCTTCCCCTAAATTTTGAGGTGAGAATAGGAGGAGGACGATTTAATGTTAATAAAATTCACAATTCATTTCATTTCATGTCTCAGAATGTGTATTTTTTGTTTGTAATTTCACAATTGTAATACCATAATGTGAATTGCTGATTTTCTATCGCGAATGTGCCGAATCTGCTGATGTAATTACAACCACTAATGAGCGCGGAGCTCTCGTGCCTCTGTTGGTAAAAAAAAACTAGCCAATCAGCATCGAGTGTTCACTTTCAGCGCTGAGGCTAGCCTCCCTTCTGATATCAACCAATCATCACAGAGATGTAAATTACGTGATATTACTTTGAACATCTGCCGCTGTGCTGATAATATACCAAGTACTTATGATGAGTAGCGATATTGAATATTTGATCGCCAACAGATTTACCAAGCTGTCATTCAAACAGTATATATACAAATTTAGGCAAAACAATTAAATGGTGCAACAGGCAGCTCTCTTTTAACACAGACTTTTAAGAAGGGATGGATGTTTGCTTCAAGTGATAGGCCAGGTAAGTCAAGTTATATTATCTTGCTGTATGTATGTCGTTTTCTTTACATTTTCTGACTAAAAGCAACCAAAAAGTCATTTTAAAGTGGTTAATAAAAATAATAATCGGCAGGGATCCCAGGCCAATACAATTATTGTGCCTCCTCTATTTTAAAATCCACGAGCCGCCACTGCTTAAAGGCAGCATTATGATGACTGGGAAAATGCAATGAGGAGGAAAAAGGAACTATAAGCTCATAAGATGAAGATGAGAATGAGAGAGAAGCAGCTGGTAATGCTGCTGCCACTTAGTGGTGTTACACTGTGCTACATTGAGACAGAGATATCACACAATGAGACTGATCAATACCTTATTCACATTAGAAATTCATTATAACAGATAAAGACCTATATATCAATAAATATTTACCCTCTTTACATATATGTTCTCATTTTACAGGAATGAAAAAAGAATAAAAACAATACTTGCTCAAATGACAACTGAAGTTACAATACATTATATAGCTCTTTGGGAAGACAAAAAAAGTAAAATGATAAAAAGATCCATGTTTATGTTCAATCAAAGCATAATGTGAAGAAAGAACAGCCAACAGTTATAAATGGAGATGCTTTACATTGGACTGCTTTATAGGCACATAGGAGTGTATTTCTGTTCTCTACTGGCTTGAAGCTTTTCAGTCATTTGTCTGTATTCCTTTGGATGTCTTTTCCTGTCAAAGTCTCTTCTTAGATCACAAATAAATAAATATTCCTTTGTGAGTGCACTTTTATCTAACCGTTTGAGACAAACCAGCGCTTTGACTGTTTCCTGATATGACCTTTCTCCGATTATAAAGTCTGTCACCTCAACACAGTCTAAACATGCTGAAAACTTCATTTCATCACAGTTTAGAGCCAGTTCAGATTGCACGCAGATCTACATATAGCTGCAAACAGGTAAAGCATCCACCTCGTGCATTACAGCACTGGAACATCTTGTAAGAATGAGTCCCAAAGGGGAATGCAGCAGGAAGTGAAAACACAGCCAATATCCCATCCAACAACACAGAACAATGCCTTATTAGATGTATATTTTTTATTTTTTTTATTTTCATATTTAGATGCAATGAAGAAATCTTTTTCTGACTCTTGGCCAATAATTTTGTCAGTGCACACTAGTGGTGAACTTATTGACTGATATGTCAAATAACAGCGTCCTTTGGAATAACATAAGTTGTGTCATGACAACTCTCGGAGGGATTGGCATGGTAATGTACATGACAATGTTAATGTATTTGTACAGAGACTCGCTACTGCCAATACATCCACAACATGCTGCTGTGAGCATGTAAGAAATATTGCTGCTGCAAATATAACATACATGAAATAACCTCCCTATAGCATACATGAATCACCTCGTAGCAGATCTATACAGGTGGAGCTGGGGAAGGTGGAGGGTATCTGAAGCAAGCTGCAACTGCTACTGTAAGCACTAGTCATATATTTGAATGTTGAGCAGCGAGCTCATTGGCTACAGATACAGGAGAGAACCAATCAGCTGTGCCATGTGATGATGTCATTAAGTCAGATTGAGTTAGACCTTATAGGACTGTGCCATCTAGAGTTTCATGCCAGAACTCTGTATTTATATATTCCGCTTATGTCAGTTAACCTTAATTTAAGTGTATTTTGAATAGAAAAAAGCATTTAATTTTAATGATCAATATCATAACATTTTTATACGTAATATTATAATATTATATTAGCACATTGGTCACCCTGCAATTTAGATATCGGACACAGACCCATATCGGTCGACCACTAGTTTGCACATCATCAGAGACATTTGGTTTCTGATCCACACACAGAATTATCTCACTCATTGTTTTTTAGTTGTTTTTAAATCCTCCTCATTAGTTGATTGAGAAGGCACTGTCTGCGCTATCTAGCAGGATCCTTTCTGGATGGGGTGACACAATGCTTTCAGGGCCGTGGGCCCCTGCTGAAAAAGCTGTTTACAGGCCTGTCACCACGATCCCTTTTGTTTCCTGTCAACGTCTTGCTGCGCGTTTCCCTGACGATGCGGTACCATGTAAATCAGATAAACAGGGCATGACAAGCCCACAATATATCTCTGGAGATAAGTGCGCGATGCACAAAACAACCGGTCCTTCCTTTTAAGTGGAAATCTGAAAATAAGAGAGATTTTTGTAGGATAGAAACAGGGAAGAGACAGCAATCAATTACCGTAGCCTACATGGCAGGGAGCTATGATCTTAATCGGAGATGAATAGCTGGGTGGGATTGTGGGCCGTGTGCGAGAACACCTCCGGGGCAGTGCAGACACGGGGAGGGGGGCATCATCAATAATAGTGCAGGTAAGGAGGACTCAGGCAAGGTCAGGACAAGCATGTTTCCCCATGAGCAGACAAACTGCCACACGCACACACAGAAATAGCTCACGGCGTAACCTCAGTCTGATTCAGTGCATTCCATCTCACCAGTGACGCTCCATCCAGGCACCCGGAAGGGTCTTTGAAGATGCGGTCTGGGGTTGTGTTTGATAATCTGCTCCCTGAGAGACAGTCCTTCACCTATCAAACACCATGCATGTCCTCCAGGAAAGACAAACAAGACACAGAGAGAGCAGGAGCTCCGGCCAATCGCTTGCCCTATTTCTGACTCAGTCCGTGTGCTTTTTTCGCTCCATTTCCTTTCTCTTGTGAGCAATCGCTGAGCCGTTCACTCCTCGCCTTCTTCTACGTATGTGGAGGGGAACCAGCCCACCTGTGGATGAGACAGAACAGAAGGAATGAGTGATCAGAGAAGAAGGTTGCAGGGGGTATTACAGAGGATTTGCGTCACTGCATTGCCTTGATAACCTTGAGGATGTGCCTGCTGCAAGAGGAGGGGAGGAGGGTCGGCACTGGATTGTTTAAAGCACTTCCAGTGGCTTCACACTGGCCTGAGCAATAATAGCCAGCAGGAAAGTATGACAGAGCTGTTTTTCTTTGATTGGCCAAATCAGGGAGGGAGAGAGAGAGAGAGGAAGTTGGAGAGAAATGAATGGTGTTGTTGCTTCTTGTCAAGCAACAGCTAAGCGTTTTTCCTGCTTTGGTCTATCTCTGCCTAAATACTGTAGGTGCCACACAATATTTTTGGGTGTCAACAATTTTGGGCCAAAGAGATTGCACTGTGGACAGAAAACTAATTTCTGTCCTGCCGCTTTGTTAACTTTTATGACTATTAAGTTTCAAGTGGGAAGTATTTTTCTGTTCTCAGTTAAATAAAAATGCAAAACTCACAGTGACAAAATTACAATCACAGCCAATCAAAAGCTAGCCGTGCATTATCCCGGTAATACCATGGTCATTTGCCAGCATTGACAAGTTAAAAGCTGTTAATGATGTTTGCAACGCAATATTTGACCAGAAGAGTAAAAATATTTTCATCAGTTACGGATCATTAGCTCGAGCATTCTGTCCACTTCAGATTAGACACAGAGATTAAATAGTGCATTAAGACCACATTTATTTGAATGAATTATAGCATTTATTTGAATTGACAGTTGTGTGTGAGTTACCTGCGTCTGTGTGTCTCTCTCTACAAACAATGAAGCTGTGTTTAGTTACTTAAAAAAACAGCGATTTTACCTCCTCGTTGCAGAGGAATATAATGTAGTGATCCAGTATCTAGGCTATTGTATTAATAAAAGTCACGGGGCAGCGTTGACAACAAGCCTCTGTGCTCCTGAATGTTTCTGTGTGTGTGCAGCGCAATCTGCAATCTCTTTCTCTCTCTCTCTCTCTCTCTCTCTCAATAATAATAATATTAATAAATGGTTCACAGGTGTTCACTTTACAATAAGATTCACTTTTAGACGTTATTAACGTTTATAACGCATTAATAAATGGTTCACAGGTGTCCACTTTATATTAAGGTTCACTTTCACAGGTTATTAATGTTTATAACTTATTCATTTCATTACTGATATTTCATCGAGCCATGGTTGTGCTTTTATGATTTTTTTCTGCCCCAAAATAAAGTTTGATATTTTCATCTTGATAAACAAAATATATCAGTTTCTAATCATTGCTGTGGATAGGCATCATGAACATTTGCAGCGTACCATGGGTAAGGTACAGAGTAGATTCTGGTAAGAAACATTGTACAAAAAGTGACATGAGTCATGAGATGTAAATGAGAGAACCATAAATACAACTTCAGTCTCACTATAAAAGTCAATTTTTGCTGCATCATGAAATAAATCAGGAATCTAGTTTTGAGTGAAATAAGTATTAATAAATATATTTATTAAGTATTTATAAAAATGGCTCACTATTTGGCAGGTATTGCATTAAAATCACCATTTTTATTCATGCATTTATAACTGCTTATCAATGATTTATAATGCATTTGTAAATGAGTTATTAGTCATTTATGAACACCTTTATAAACACGTTATAAAGGGAACCTTAATGTAAAGTGTTACCATTTATTTTTTAATTATTATTAAACTTTTAAATTATTATTATTTTATCATTTATTGTTATTTTATTATTTATAAAATATGTAACAATAGCATAATATATGATATAATGTCAGCATAATTTGCAAAAACAATGTAGAACACTGTAAATCACAGGAACCAAACATTTAAATTTGCAAGGCATAAAAATATTGAGTTGAGTCCTGCATTTGAGATTCAAAATTCAGCTGGAAGTTGGAAGTTGGACCAATGTGATTTTACTGTAGGCTGGACTGTCCATCACTAGGCAACAAAAATAGAAACCAAGCATCCATCAAAACATAATTTCACACTGCTGACAATCACAGCTGGTTAGGACAAAATGCAGATTAACAAGGGATAGATGTGATTTATTGGTTGACGTTACAAAAGGTACAAAGGCAGTTCTGTCCATTTCAGAAGAAGGCAGGAGAACGGTTCGAAGCACTGATCCCAAAATCTATTACTGGCATCCATAAAACAGCCCTGAACGTTTTATTCACTAAATTACACTTACAGCCTCCCTGATGAAACCATTATAAGATGGCTCAAAAGGCTCAAAAAACATTTGACAGTTCGATGCGCTTTAAGTACAAATAAGCTTTTGGGCTCAGTATGAAATAATGCTGCTTAATTCGATAGCGATGCCACATTTTCTGTGCGGTTTCAGTTTTCTGTCATTCTTAGCAGAATGTCTGTCATCTCAGATCAGAGAAGAGAAGCATGTTATGAAAAGACAGTATAAACAGACAGTACTTTCACATTTATTTAAGTCGGTGCTCTGTGACTGTACACTAAAAGCACTTTATATTTTAAAACAAGTATTATTATACATTATTTGTTTTTAAATATTTGAATACATTAAATAAATTAAATATAAGTTTACTAATTATTAAATATCTCTCGAACTTATATTGTAAGGCAAATTCAATTTAGAAATTAACTAGATGTACCAAAATGTGAAATATTGTATTCCATAATGCAGTGCGTTCCCTTTGAAATTTTGATTGTGACAAATAAATTGGAAGTAAAAACACCCTGATTTTAGGTTGGTAAGATTTTTGATATTTTTTCAAAGAAGTCTATGCTCACAAAGGCTGCATTTATATGATATATTGATATATATTGAAATATTATTACAATTTAAAAGAACATATTAATATATTTCATAATGTAATTTATTCCTGAAATAGCAACGCTGTATTTTCATCAGCCAAGTGTTCAGTGTCACACGATCCTTCAAAAATCATTCTAATATGCTGATTTGGAGCTCAGGTAACATTTCTTTTGTTACCAACATTTTTGTTGAAAATGTCCATGTTGTGTGGCTTAGTACTTTGTGGAAACTGTGATAGAGAACAATATAAAGGGGTCATATGATGTTGCTAAAAAGAACATTATTTTGTGTATTTGGTGTAATGAAATGTGTTTATGTGGTTTAAGGTTAAAAAAACACATTATTTTCCACATACTGTACATTATTTTCTCCTATTTTCTAAATATTATTATCTCCTCTATGCCCCGCCTTTCTGAAACGCGTCGACTTTTACAAAGCTCATCAGTCTGAAAAGTGAGGTGTGCTCTGATTGGCCAGCTATCTAGTGCGTTGTGATTGGCTGAATACCTCAAGCGTGTGACGGAAATGTTACGCCCCTTACATACTGTGATGCCGTGTCCCGGCCGGAGGGACGAGACAAAAACATTAAAACCCATTATAAACGAGGCATTCGTTGCATCCAGTGGGGACATAATTATGGATTATAATGACTTATACTGTCTTTTTATGCGTTGCATCGCGCCGCGTAAACATAAGACCATGTCTGCATTTGTGATCGGAGAAACAACAAACAACAAGTGCTACTCTACACTGCTCAAAACTCACGTTTGAATCGTCAGTGGCAAATTCTTTAAATATGAAAACGTACTTACAGTCTGTGAGTCAGAACAGCCGGCATTGTAGTCTACTCTACCAGGATCAGGAAACAGTCCTCCATAAAATGTGCTGCACACATCTGCATATTTGGGTTGAACTGTTCTGGAACAGAGTTGTAAATACAAATTAACCACTGATTTCTAGTCGCGTCCTCTTTTGGAAGGCCAAACAAAGTATTTTCGCTTTCGCAACGAAACACACACCGTCTTCACAACATGGCGGCGGTGGCAGCAACAATAAAGGTATGCCTTCTTTCTTTGCTTGAACATTTGGGCGGCATTATGCAAATCTTCCCACATCGTGATGTAGACATGTGGGGGCGTGTTTAAAAGAGGCGTTTTAGGAGGGCATGGACCAGTCTTAACTTTGATAAAGAATATCTCTTTGGATTTGAGACTTTAGTCTTTGCAACTTTAGGGATCTTATCTATTCACAAACAGCTTGTAACACTCCAAAGAGAAAGGAAAACTTGAAATCGCATCATATGACCCCTTTAATAAATAGAAAGGTCCAAAGAACAACATTTATGTGAAATAAAAATATTTTGTCACATTATAAAATGTCTTTACTGTCACTTTTTATCAATTTAATGTATCCTTGCTGAATAAAAGCATTAATTTCTTAAAAAAAAAAAAACTAGTATTACATTAGCTAACATATAAGGATGTTTTTTTATTTTGTTTGTAGATTTTTTTATTTTATTTAACAAAATGAACTTTAAAATCCAAAAAAGCACTTTCTTTTTATTTCCGTGATCATATCTTGATGCCACACAATCTTTTAAACATTCCATAACATGAAATTGTCACAAATTCGTGGGACACGGTTTGAAACATCTATCATTGCATAATGTGCATCACATATTATTTATGCAGTATATAATATGCAGTATGCAGTAAGCTAGTATACATCCTATTACATCTACACACACACTTACCCGTCCATTGACTTCACCCCTCCACCAGCCATTGGCTCCAGTTTTGCTGTAGATCTTCACCACATCACCCTCCTGCAGAGACAGTTCCCGCGTGTCCCGAGAGCTGAAGTCGTAGCGGGCAATCGCCACACCCATCACCTTAGGAGTAAACACTGTAGAGATGAGAAAAAAAGAGTGAACATTTAGAAGCAAACATCACAGGACAAAAAGGAAGACGAGAATCAGACAAAATTAACCAGACAAACAAAGAGAGGATGGATGCAGGCTGTATAGTCCCCCTAAGGACTCTTGTAATCACAGCACTCCTTCATGTGTTTGCCTGCCTTAACACAACCACTTTACATAAATGATTCTCGTGAATCTGGGACGGGTTCAATCACAGCTGAAGTGGCTGTTTTGATTATGTCTTGAGATGTGTCAACAGCATAATCCGCTGGGTTAATTACATTTCAGACGACTTTTCCCTCAAAAACACATCTTGTTCCTTCTAGCAGCTCACTGACGTTTTGTTGGACTCGTTTTGCGGTTCTCTCTAAATGCGGTGGGCCGAGGGAAATACGTGGTGGCGGATTCAAATGTGCCTTTGTTTTATCGGACTTCAGAGGCTCTGAGGACTTTGTGAACGGCAGCCAGAGAAGCTAGGCCTTCCGCCAGACGTGTTGATGAGATCCGCCTCAGTGCCAGGATGCTTTCTCTTCAGCTGTTTTAAAGTGAGCAAGACTTGTACAGACAGAGAACTGGCTCCCAGTTAGCTGCCGTCATGCTCAAAGCGAGAAGTTTGTAAAGGAGGGAGAGAGAGATGTCACAAAGTTAGCCCAACTCCTTCCTTTTCATCACAGCTCCCCTGATAAAAAACGCCCGTAATGACGGCTCTAATAAGCTAACTGAGTGAAATGAGATAATGATGAGTCATATCGTCAGTCAGTCAGTGTCGGCTGACAAAGGACATATGGTGCATGGGGCTATGCATTAGAGAAGATGATAGCGGCTGGGAGATGATCTATAAACAGACACACACAATGAGATGGGGGGCGGGGTTAAACGCAGGGGGTGGCGTGTAAACAAGGCAGCCTCAGATCTCCTATGACCTTGACAAAACAACACCAATGGAGAAAGAAAACTTGTACCTGTACCTGACCAGAATGGGGCGGTAGAGGGGGGGACAAAGCTGTAGCCGGCGGGAGTTAGAAAAGACAGCCCGTAGAGCAGCGGGGCTGAGGTGGGCGGAGGCATGGGCGTGGTGGGGTGAGGTGGAGTGAGGCAGGGGTGCGGCAAGGGTAAAGAGAAGAAAAGCAAAAGAAAAAGCATGTTTAATTCAAGCGCAGCATTTGCAAGCAAACAGAGCAGATTGTAAACAAATGCTAACTTCTTGCATCAACACATTCTAAAGCCTTGTTCAGACTGTCAGTCCAAACCTGATGATATTTATCATAGATTGAGCATTAAGCTGCACGATTAATCATTAAAAGATTGCAATCTTGATTCAAACAACCACACAATCTTCTTCCAAAATGACAACAATTGGCCTATGTCTATTAAAACTTTCACAGAATCCCAGAATTACTGGAATGAAAGTTTATAGTTTATATATCAAAATAGAGTAAATCAGCATTTGAAAGTAACTTGATGCTTGAAAGATTGTATCGATTACGCTGTTACGCCAGTAGGTGGAGACAAGTGACTGTTAAAAAATTCATTTGTGTGACTGTTAAAAAATGCATTTGTCATTAAATCATTCATCCGGTAATGAAGCAAGTGAAGTCTTTATGAGTGAGTCATTGAATTATTCATTCAAGAGATTTGTTCAAAAATGCTGATTCATCCAGTCATGACACAAGTGAAGTCTTTATAAGTGAGTCATTGAATCTTTCATTCAAAGTTTTTTTTTTTTAAATAATGCATTCAAATTAATTAGATATAAATAGACCGTAGCGATTAACATTTTGTCAGACCCTCTAATAAATTTATAGTAAGTTATTTTGTTTGGTTGTCTATTCAGAATCGTGGGAGAATCAAGATCTCTCTATTTAAGAAAAATAATAACATGAAACCTCTTTGAATATTGAGACTGTTGGAGACGGCAGCAGGGAGTAAAGCGGCGCCGTGGTACATAAAAATCTGATCTAAACAGTTGCGATACACAATGTGGACATTCAATTATTTAGATCAAATTCCATTCGGAAACAGAAATAATCTGATTTAGCCTGACAGTGTGAGTATCTTCTACATTTGTCCCCCTGCCTCATAAGACATAGCAGTCCAGCGCGGTGGCTACACATTGTCATGCTGTAAGACAACATCCATACTGCTATGATGTTATTGTTGTTGTTTTGGGTCATAGGCATACCAACACAACGTCATTGCCATAGAAACCAATGCAGATATTCCAGAAAATGAAAGAGCACCATGGGACACACAAATCGGATCTAAACAGTTGCGATACAAAGTGTGGATATTGATTTATTTAGATCAGCTTCCAATCAGATACACAAATATACAGATCTGGAATGACATTGTGAACATAGCCTAACTGATTCCCACCTGTTTTACATGGTAGGACAGGAATGTCAGTTCTGGAATATGTGTATTCATGTCCCGTTCCGCCGAGAACTTTCAGTAAGGTTTGTGTTTACTAAAACTCCAGGAGCGTCTGTGCTCGACTGTGGCAGTGAAGCGAGTTCCCCTCGCCATCTGATGCTCCATCTGACCGGCTCGGCCCAGAACGTCACGGACCCCAAGCGTGTCATCAACACAATATGTTTGAAGGCAGCCAAAGCAATACGGCGTTCAGTGTAACTAACAACACGTCAATGAACATCGAACGATCTGATGATTAGGAGTGTGTATGGAGCATCAGGCTTAACCATTGTTTTAGCACATGTGTTCCTGGCCTACTTTTTATGCATGTGAATGTTTGGAGTTTGTCTAATTTCAATAGGTAAAAAGGTTCCACATTTTTGGAGCATAATGACTAAAAATAGCACCCCTAGATCAATTTTCATTTAATACAAAATAGTGATAAATAAAAAAATAGCCTACAAGGTATGAATTCAAAGTTGAAGCTTCCCTTAAAATAAAAACTTTTTTTTTTTTATAATGTGAACTTTGGAACACATATTAAGAATATAAATTGGGTCAATTTTAAATTCATTATTGATTTTAAAATAAATACATTCTCAACATCTCAATCTCAATTTTTTCTCTCACTCGTCTGTTCATTCTCTGGCATGCGGTTCAACTCAGACTGGGTTCAAAAGCATCTCATGTCTTTCTTAAACATCTGTTCAAAGTTTTGAAGGGACAACCCAAGCTGAGGCTAACCGAGCTCATGAATTAATGCAGGAGCACATGCTGTGTGTCTCTAAAGGCCTTGTCTCCGACCACAACCCAACCTGTGATGTCCGAGCCGCTAACAGGCACTTGAGATTCCACCCACGTCACTCCAGGAGAACCAAACACCCATCCGCCCACTATTCTGCAAACTCTGCGAGGCTCAAACCTCCTGTCTTCAGCACGTCATTATCCATAATGTAAATATTCAAGGTTATGGATTTGCCGTCCAACCTGTGTGCCTCGCTTCACATTCGATGGAATACAAGTAGAAACGCATCATAGCTGACAGCATCTCCAGTGCTTCCTGGATATAAATAAATATGAGGAAGGAAGAGGCATCAAGCAATGTGTTCTCCCTTCACCTGCGAATTAAAGCCACGATTATTTCTGTGTCCAACAAGAACAATGGAGGTCACACTGTACAGGCTGTTTCCGTTCTACAATGCTGATTTTTTTTCTCTTGCAGTACGCTGCCTACGCAGGTTCAAGTTACCACTTAGAGTAGATGCCCATGTTGCTCTGTATGTGGCGTTCCCCGTCTACTAGCGTGGTTTATATGTCTTGTGCAGAGGTTTACACGAAAGACTTGTGTGTCTCTGGCAGCCGTCTCAAAAACAATTGCATGTAATTTAAATTTATTGGCACATAAGCAGACGCTGAGATGTAAAAAAAGAAAAGAAGCTGTGCTGCATGGGAATGGACCTCGGGGGTGAGAGGAGAAAAACAGCAGCGATGCATACTGGGAGATCCATTCTTTGGTCAGAGTTGCTTTGTTAAAGCAGTGAAGTGTTTGAGTGACGTCCCCCCAGCTTCTCAATCTGCCGACATTTCCCAATTGCGAAGAGACCACTCGCTGTGACATATGGAGCTACAATAAAATCTCATCTAAGCGCTGATTGCAATGTGCCATAAACTCTCAGATCAAGCTATAAGCACAGCTCAGTAGTTCAGGGTATACTAAAAGCCCACGTTTGAGGTTTTTAACTCGTTCCTCTCCCACAACTGGAAAACGACACAGATGTCTAAGGAGCTTTCACAATCACAAAGCCATGAATAAAACAGATGAATTTGGCCAGAAACATACTCAGGTGAAAGTATGCAAATGGTGACATGATCACTGCAAGCATGTGAATCCAGTTTTTAACTCTAAAAAGAGTCCTGCATGAATGCATACTTTTTATTTGTGCTTTATATATCATTTTTAATTCACTAAAATAAATTACAATCAACATAATATAAGAAATGTAAATAATCCAAATTAATAAAAATAAATATATAAATTATGTATACCACTGTTCAAAAGTTCAGTAAGAATTTTCATTTATTTGGTAAAAAGGAATAAAAAAAATGGTAATTGTGAAATATTATTACAATAAAAAAACAGCTATTCCTGAGAATTTCTTTGTAATAATCTTTATAATAAGTCTTTATAGTCACTTTTGACTTTCTTAATAAAAATATGAATTTCTTTAAAATTCTTACTGACTCCAAACATTTGAACTCTCTCTCTCTCTCTCTCTCTCTCTCTCTCTCTCTCTCTCTCTCTCTATATATATATATATATATATATATATATATATCAAGCATAATGAGCTCAAGGACAACGTGCTTAAGATACACCCTCTGCCTCTCTCTCTCGCTCTCTCTCTCTCTCTCTCTCTCTCTCTCTCTCTCTCTCTCTCTATATATATATATATATATATATATATATATATGTGTGTGTGTGTGTGTGTGTTTAAATGTCATAAATAAGCCATAGAAATCTCATCTGTCATGACCTCAAGGTTGAGAAACTCTTGAGAAACGCTATTTCCATCAAAGAGTTCAAAGACTTTCAATGAGGAATCACTGCTGCCATAGCAACTGCCATGGTGACCATAGCTACTGTCCATCACAACAATATCATGTGTTTTGAACTATTGAACACAAAATCAAGAACGTTGTGAATCACTGTTTATGCTCAGGCTTTTGTGTTAAATAGAACAAGCATACATTTTGTTATTTGTGAGTTGTCCGTGTGAATCTGAAACTAGCGACCTGTGTTTTTGATAGCATGGGCATCTGTGCACAGTACGTACTGTTGGCTCCATTCTCCGGGTCTCGGTAGGCGAACTGCAGAGTGGTATCAAGTGTCCTGAATCCTTCCCGCAGAGAGTGATGTTTGTAATACTCGATCAGCTCCTGCATTAAACACACACATACGCTCAACATGATGTCAGTTCACATAAAAGGGAAAGTTTCTACAGCCATTAAAAGGGAAAATTAAAAATAAATATATGAACGGATTCAATATGACTCCAGCATTCACAATCCAATAATGTTATTTAACTGGCATTTGCAAGATCGAATCTAAAAGCGCTTTCAAAAAGAAGCTGACAAAAGACATTTGATTTTTCTACAGAATAGAGACATTAAGCAGCGTGATTTCCTAATGCCCTTTAGAAGGCAAACAGATGACAAAACAAAAGGGATTGTATAAATGATAGAAAGAGATTCCAAACGCAATAAGCTGGTATAATGCAAACATTTATCTTGATTCCACCGACCTTAAAAACATATGAGTGCAACATTTACTTTTCACTTTTTATGATAAAGACGTTTCAATAATATTCTTTGCCAAAAACTAGTAAAAAATATTAGCACTTACTAAAATGCTTCTGAACTTCCTGTTTTCTGCAATGTAGAAGAATCCCTCCTTTGTTAAGATCTTGATGTGTTTCACGTCGTTGTTGTACCTGTGGGCCATGAATAAATGATGAGAGTAATTTTCTGGTGATCATTGCGATCGATGCTGCATATCCCCTATGGGAAGCTGCCATAGTAATGCATGGGGCAAAGAGCTTTTCATGCAGGGAGAAGGGGTCGATAGCGAGGGGTGGGGCGTCTCCATTAGTCCTTGAATTAAAAGTTACGAGCTCACATTTTTTAGAGAGACAGTGCACAGGACCATCTAAAAACAAGAATCACTTAAAAAAAAGAAAAAGAAGCCATCTCACGAAGGCAGCTTTTGTCTTTCGGCTTTGCGCTTGAACACACACACTATAGATTTGTTCTATTGTTGTTTGGGTGTGTGAATAAAACAAATAATAACATAATAATATTGTTGTGGGTGGAAAACTTTTTCTCAATTCACTCAGACTACTTTTTACTAATTATTTGTTGTTTCTAAATGATACAGTAAAATAATCAAGTGCGCTCTTTTAACTCACTTGATGCTGATGGCATATTCGTTAAACTCTCGGCTTCTGTGACGGACCAGGTATGTGCTGCTCCTCCTGTTGAGCAGCGCGGCCTCTGCCTGAAGCCTCTCCATTGGGCCTGCGAACCTGAGTGAAAGGTCAAGAGGTCAGACGTGAAGGCTTGATGGGCAACACATAAGGGTTAATATGCTAACAGGGCAAAAGTGCTGATCTGTGGTTGCACCCAAAATGTCACATGCATTTACGTTTGTATTTGTTGTATTACAGTAAACTGTATTATTAAATTAACTTGTGAGTTTCTCTCAGTTATTAGGATGTATATAACAATTACAGTATTTTGTAAATTATTATAATTACAATAATTAATACAAAAATAATAAAATATTTATTTTTAAATTATAAATAGAAAAATATATATAAAAATATATATTAAAAGATGGTAGATGAATAAATAAAATGTGTGGTAGGGAGAATAAAGATCATACCAAGGCTGAGAAGAGTAGTCAACAGGTTTTGGTACCTAAAAAAGAAAAAAAGGGATTGAAACAGAATTAAATAATGAAAGTAGAGCACACATATGTGCACTTTTGTTCTTGAAATTTCACTCAACTCAGTATTTTTAACTCGCAGCTCAAGTCTGGGACAACACAGCTCATATTAGTGCTAAAATCTGCCCTAGTTACTGTTCTTTTTACAACCACAATTGGTTTTCTAAATGCACTCATAAAGATAACCTAACATATTTTTTTCTTAAAATGATTTGTAGGTAATTATGATTGTAAATCATCTTGCAAATAATAGCAGGGCGTGTGGACAGAATGCGATAACATGCTATTCACAAGATAAACCAGTGCTGCTGTAAACAAACACACAATCACCCACAATGCATTTGTCATTCAAAGACAGCCCTGAAGTGGTGCTTGCATATCTAAACCATTTGAAAACAACATGCACACAAGGACAAGTCTACCTTGCCTTGATCATATTTGTTTTTGTTGGCAGAGAATAAAGAATCATTTTAGCATTATAATATAATCAGGTTTGTACTCACACATGGGCAAGGCTTCACTGCATCGCTTGGAAAGAAGCCAACCTCTTTAGTTGCCAGGATTTTACCCTGAAACCATGGCAGATAATTACATTACGTTCAGCTGGGCAACTCCTTCTCAATAATTCAGTAACAATTAGTACTTAACACGACACTACAAATTTACAGCCGAGAGTTCATCAGAGCTGGAAAAGTCTTGGGAGAATACAGGAGGAATACCAGGAGAATGAATAAACAATATAATGCATCCAGTAGGCTGTTTGTAAAATATTTACAGATTTTTTTCTGTAAATATTTAATCAAATATTTTAATTAAATATTTTTCTGTAAATATATAAATAAAAAACATGTCAAAATGCATTTAAAAAATGGAAAAAATAAAAGAAAGAGGCGAAGAGAAGAAAATAATCACAGTGCATCCTAATTTGCATACTATCCATCCTAAATAGTATTATTATTAGTAAGGTTTTGCATGGGTTTTTTTTGGCACAGAATTTTTTAAATGTACAAGTCTAAAAGTTAAAGGAATAGTTCACCCAAAATTGAAAAAAAATGAATTTGCTGAAAACGTTTTCCTCCACAGACCATCCAAGATGTAGAGGAGTTTGTTTTTTCATCAGAACAGATTTTGAGAAATTTAGCATTACACCAATGGATCTCCAGTACAGAATGGGTGCCGAGAGAATGAAAGTCCAATTAAAAGTTGTGGATTACTTGTGGATTATTGCAATGTTTTTATCAGCTATTTGGACTCTCATTCTGACGGCACCCATTCACTTCAGAGGATCCATTGTTGAGCAAATGATGTAATGCTACATTTCTCCAAATCTGTTTTGATGAAGAAACAAACTCATCTAAATGTTGGGTGGCCTGAGAGTCAGTGTTAATTTCGTTGACGGCATTTTTTTCACCGACGACAACGAAACGATAACGAACTAAAACTCTTTTTGAATGACAAAAACTATGACGTAAATCTATTGACATTTTCGTCAACGAATAAAAACAAGACGAAAATGTTAGGGAGGGACGATTTGGGAAGAGATTCATTCAGAACAAATCTGCTACGTGGTTCGGAGGTTAGATGCGTACATATGAACTGGCGGGACATAAGCAAACACACTTGCTGCACGTCGCATAAAACATTCAAAAATGTCAATATGTGGGAGTAAGAGAAGAGCAGACATATGGATAAATCTGACGGCGCAAGAGAGAACTCAATTCTGTCTGGTTTTCTGAGCGCAGACACTGAAGCATACACACAAGGAAAGCACGTCTCAGCACGCGAGTACTCTTTCGTGTCGCATGAATGGAGAATTACACACAAAATTATGTTGAAAATTCTGTTTTGATGAGTATTCACGTAAACACAGTTGATTACGTCTTAAGCTAACGTAAAGAGCAGGGAGAACGTGTATCAGTACATTGCATCCATTGCAGCTGTGCATTCAGTTTTAAAGGGATAGCAGCCTAATTTAGTTGCTATTGTCCGAGTCATTGATGTTAATCAAGCAATAAAAGAAAGACAGAAAATCACGCACTGCTCTTGACTTAAAAACTTTAGTAGCCCTAAAGATTAATCTAAATGTATTTATCGAAATAAATATGTCTGCTTGAAAGAATGAAGAATATGGTAAACAAGTTGCTATAAAGAATGCATAATTAGCCTATATAACCATTAATATTTCATTAAAAAGAAGACCATGTTCTTGTTCTTTATGAGAAGTGGTTTTATTTAATTTTAACATAAAGGCATGCTGTGTGTCACCGCAGTTAAATCGGTGTCTATCATGATAAAGCCTTAATATCAAACCTATATAATGAGTTTAATAAAAAATAATAAATGGTTAATAAATGCATTACACTGTAACTAAACCCATTAGATTTTAGACTAAATCTAGTCTAAAACTAAAAACAATTCAGATGACTAAAATATGGCTAAAACTAAATGCCATTTTAGTTAAAAGACTATGACTAAAACTAAATCAAAATTTGCTGTCAAAATTAACACTGCTGAGAGTGAATATATTTTCAGCAAACCCTCATTTTTTTGTGAACTATTCCTTTAAATAATAAGACATTTAGGGTAAAAATTTAGACGGTAGATGTTAACATGCTCATGCAAAAGCAATGAAAAGCAAAAGGTTTGTAGTATCAAAATGTAATTTAATAAAGTGATAGTATGTCTCAATTCCAGTACACAGTCTTTCCCATCATCCCAAAAGTACCTACTTTTAGTGTAAAATATAAGTATGGGAAGCAAATCTGCAGAGAGAGAAAGTACACTCAATCTGCTCAGCAAATCTGCATGTTTACCTAATTGACAAATCATTTATATACAGCTGCTTCCGATACAGCTGTCACTGATATAACAACAATTGATGGCTCTCAGGCCCAAAGTGCCAGTAATGCTCGGATCTTTCTCTTCCTCCTCCTCAGATGGTCTTCCAGGGAGATGTAGAAAGTGTATTTCTGTCTCATCTACCTCTTCCTTGAACAAATTTGATTTGTAAGTGGATCCTTAAGCACACCCACCCACCCCCCACCACAATGCATTTAGTGCATTGACATTTTATCAGCACTCATGATGCCGCCCCACTATTGGTTGTTGCTCAGATAAGGGCTTAATAATGATTAAACTCATAACCCTGTTAGATCAAACAGATGGCAACCAAAGGCCCAAATGAAATTACAGTGAGTGATTATGTTTGTCAGGCACCAGAGCGGCAATAATTGTCTCCGGGTTACCACGGCTACGAGGGCTCTGATCGTCCTTTGCTCCGTCCGGAGCTGCCGCGGGACGCTGGATATTATGAGGTCTCAGGTGACACGGGCGGTGTAATTTTGCATGAGTTCAAATGGAATAAATCAACTTCCGGGTGCATGGGACAGCTGGGAGTTCGGAGCCTGCAGCAGACGGCAGTCTTAGAATCAGGCAGAACGAGATTAACATGTTAAAACAGGGCTGTGGAGAAGCATCCTGGACAGCTGGACCCGTCTGATGGAGAGGGATGTAGGGGCATTCGAGTGTGTGCCAGGCTCTGCCAATTCTCTGGCTCTGTGGACAATTATTGGCTGGTTTCCTCATAGCCTTGGCATGTAAATAACCAGAGCAAGAAGAGTGGGCATCAAGATGGACAGCATGGGCTTTTCTGTCCCTTCCCAGAAGAACAAGAAACTTAATTTTCTGTAAAGTTGCTTTGCAACGATTTGTATCGTAAAAAGCGCTATACAAATAAACTTGAATTGAATTGAATTGAACATTTTATTGCTCAAAATTTGCACTTTCATAGTTCAAGGAATAAAATTACTCAATTGTTTCAAATTTGTCTCAGGTGTGCCTCCTTAAGAGTATTAAACGTTACACAAATAAGACAAAAAAAGAAAATTATTTGTAGAATTTGCAATTTGAAATCTACTTTTGACTTCTTATTTATTATTATTATTATTATTTTGAAAAGTTGTGTGACACTGGAGACTCACTAGTCTTTTTTTTATCACAGGAGTTCACATTCAGAGTGTTTTGAACAAAATGACTAAAACTAAAAGTAAAACTCAAAATAAAAAAAATAAAAAATAAAAGCTAATTAAAAATGTTAATAAATACTGGTTTATACTTTGATTGTTATGCCACAGCCACAAATCTGCTGCATGCTAGTCACTTTCACTTTTTCATTGTAGAGAGCAACTGATTGAGCCAAAAAAATTAATAAATATATATATGTATATATTTTGATTAGTTTTCCAGGCAGAGAAAGACTGTAAACTAAATGAATATTTCTGCTATGTTTAGGAACACATTGAGACAAAAATACACTTATATGCTGAGGTTTACAGGAAAGTGATTAGCATTGTACTCCGAGAAAGAGTTAATCATTAATCTGAATCTATTTTAGTGATTTTCTTTTGTGGGGCTCATGTCAGAGCACTGCATGTGCACCAACACCTATCAAATGACAACATGACAAATAAAATCTGTCGTCAAGCGTGTGTCTGCTCTCTGGGCGTTGTGCTGGTCTGTGTTGTTTTTGTATGGCTATGAAACCTAACTCACAACAGCTTTCTTGTGTTGACAAAGGGTTGGATTAGTTAGCATTTCCCAGCGAGTCACACTTAGCAAAGCATAACAACACAGCCGCTCGGCCTTTGCCACAAACACGAGCGGCAATCAATTAGCAGCTAAATGAGTGCTAGCGTCATTCCTGCAGGGCTGTATGACTTGAAATGTTTATTTAAGCTGTGAGATGTAAAACTGTCTCACCTTCCACCAACGGCTACGGACGTTTGCCTCTATCACTTCAATGATGTCACCAACCTGGATGTTAAGCGGTGGGCTACACAGGGGGCTCGGAACCCCGTAATAATTACGGATGACCTGCATCTTAGGTAGATCTAAAAAAAAAAAAAATTTGTTAAAATATTATATATGTGTGTGTGTGTGTGTGTGTGTTCATCTATATCACTAACATGTGTACTGAACTTTGACAGAGTGTCATTACTGCATGTTTTGACACTCTGCCACATAAAGAACAGGTTTATGTACGTGATGCTGTGATCGTAAATCACCACAGGTGACAGCAGAATCACGTCAGTACATCATTAAAAACGTCAGCAAGCTTTAAATCTAGCATATAAAATAAGTAAAATAGAAAACAAAATTATTTTATGCATATAAAATAAGCATAAAATATATGCTATAAAATAGCATATAAAATACATTTTAAAGAAATAAAATAAGTTTAAGTACTAAGATTACTAAAATAAAACAACAAATTATAAATCGAAGCTAAATAGAAATATATAAAAATATATAATATAATAATAGAAATATAATAGAAATGACAAAAGCACAAAATTAATAAAATGTAAACTCAAATTAAAATAAAACTGAAAATAAATTCAAGTAAGTTATGTAAGTCATGTAAAGAATAAGTTCAAGCTGAAGAACTAAAATTACTAAAGTAAAACTGAAAGAAATATAAATGAAAGTTAAATAGAAATATTAAAAAGTAAAAACTAGCAGAGCACAATAAAAATAATAAAAATAAAACTAATTCAAATTATTAATAAAAAGTCTGTAATATTAACAGGTCATCTGCAGCATCCTCCACAAACCAGCATTCAAAAGTGTAGCTGGCCTTTTTACGCAATTTCATGTAAGTTTTAGTGAATCAAATACTAAAAACTGAAAGTTCTAAGTACTAAAATGACTAAAGTAAAACCGGGGGGGAAAAAGAAGTAAATAGATATATAAAAAACTAATAAAAATTACAAAAAGCACATTACAAAATTTGTAAAACTAAAAAATTGAAAAAAGAAAACATACAAACAAAAGCTCATTAAAAAAAATAAATAAATAAAAAGTCTGTAATATTCATAGGCAGTCTGTTGTATCCTCTACCACCTTCAAAACTGTAGCTGGCCTTTTTCACTATTCCTTCATCGTTTTAGTGAATCGGATACTAAAGCAAAAGCTAAAATAAACCATGCCTCAGGAGACAATTCATTCTTGGCAAATTCCCCCCTAGAGTTACGAAGACCAGCTGACCACAAACGTCAGATGTTCAGTCTGGCTATTACTCTAATTAGTATTAAGACATTTTTCTTTTCCATTCAAGTAATTGGACACAACAGGTCTGGCGCCGCGGGCAGAACTGTGCCGAGTGGACAGTCGTTCAGACGCTCCAGTGAGCTATGAATGAGTGTGTTTGTGTGCGCGGGGCTGCTTTGTTGAAGGGTCAATAGTGATGGTCTCAGCTGGTTGCTGCAGCTCTATATATTCTGCCGTTCTGATGATGAGAGGCGAGTGTAGACTCTCTTAAAGCAACCAGCTGTGGCTGAATCCTTCCAGCCCAGCAGATCACCCAGGCCTTGGGCTTCCAAGCACAGCTGGCTGTCTTTGAAGACACTTTTAAAACAGTGTGAGCATGTGCTTCTCTGTAGGGAAGCATCTTGCTGGCATGCTATGCTAAGAACCTTTGTGCACAAGGGCAAAGAGTCAGAACCAATAAACACGAAAATGCATTTCTGCATCAGAATAGCTCATGAAAAGGTCTCCTAAATGTGCTAAAAGATAACAAAACAGCATGTTTTAGAGTTTACAGAAAAAAAGAGCTCACTTTAACACACCTCTCATCAAAAAGGAACACTATTTGAGGTATCATTCATGCACAAAGATTGCACATGGAATAAAACAATTCAGCTGAAATGAACAAATGTTGTTTTGCAGTAAGGCTGTTTTTGATGAAGACAAATCTAGCGGTGCTGAACAGGCAGGAAGGAACTACTTAAATTCAAAAGCAGAGATTCCCATGACAGCAAACACTACACAAAGACCTTCTCTCACCATAACTAATGAATCTACGACCCCAATATTGTGCGGGATCGGGAGGCCTCTCACGGAACCTGTAACCCAGGTAGACCTCACAGGTATTGATCAACCTATCAATGGCGCAGTGAAAACACATTACAGATAATGTGGCCCTCTTAATGACAGACTGATGGGTGGAACGACTGCTGCTGAACACTAGTGCAGATGGAGATTGAGCATGGAGATGGAGATTGAGGTGGTGGAAATCTTGCATTTCTGTAAGGACTGCCGTGCAAAAACAATGAGCGGAGTTTCAGGACATTTACAATCTGCAAACCAAATGTATGTATATATGTCTGTGTGTGTGTACTGCCTATGCTAATAGTTTAAATTGAAGGTCAGGGAAGCTAACGATTTTGAACTGAAGAAGCTCTCCACAGCTTAAGACACACATAATACGATTACATTTCGTGAATCTACACTGGATGAAGTGGGTTAAGTATTTTGGACTAAAGGGTTGTGGTAAATATAGACTGGATTGTCTAGTAAGGGCCTATCTATGCAAACAAAGCTAAACAATAGAGCTACAGTGGTTAAATCTTTTCCCGCTCATATCTGACACTAAGACCTGGTTACGTGCATGAGCTTGCCTTAACAGCAAACAACAACACTACGGCTCAATGACTCCAGACTAAAAATACACAATTTAGCACAGATTGAGGAAGTATGTAATGTACAAGACTATGCATGTTTTGTAAGCATGATGAAAACCCCACAGCCATAGCAATGACGAAAATACCCATTTCAGTGCAGCACATGCCAGACTGTGAATTACAGGAACAATTCACTCAAAAATGAGAATTCAGTCATTATATTATCACCTTCATGTCATTCCAAACCTAATCGCTGTTAGTAAAAGGTTGCATCTTTTATTGAAAATAGCTTCAAAATCATCCTTTTGTGATCCACTGACAAAAATAACAGCAAGCTGGTTTGTAACAACATGAGGGTGAATGAATAATTGCATAATTGTCATGTTTGGGTGAGCTCTCCTTTTAAGAATGCAAAATGTGACTGATTGTGTGTGCTCACTATTTACCTGCGTCTCCTCCATGACAGGGTGTTTTTCCAATCTGTAATCAAAGTAAATAAATCACATGATTCATACTGTTGCCAAACACAGACATTGCAATGCATTAATGATTTGATGATCAAGTAAAACTTTGTGCAAACACACAATCTCATCATTAATTTTTGACAAGTAAACAGTTTGTCACACTACTGCACAAAAACACGTTCATCCTGTAACATTTCTACAAAGATGGAGAATTTCCTCCATGCAATTTACCATCAGTGTTGAACTGCACTCTGGGCAAATTGCATGTCAATATCCTTATTACATGCTATATAAATTACTTTGGGATTGTTATTGCAAAATGATGACCGTGCAATTAATAAAACTGATGTGCAATTAAATAAATGCACAATCCATAATGCATATATCACTCTAAACTGCATGAACTCTGGGCTAGAAACAATCTCATAATGTTTCCCCATAAATAGTGCATCAAGCTTTAATAAAGTAATATTTCTTCAATAACAATTCCATGAATAATGTTGCAGCAACTTTAAAATGCATTGTAAGAGAATTTTCCATAGTACTAATTTTAAATGGTAATCAATAGGAGTAAATAAGACCCTGAAGGGCAGAACTAGATTCAAAAGGAACAAAAAGGAACAAAAACCTCACCTGAGATCCGAGAGAGCTGGAATCTGCAAGAATTTTGAAGACAGGCATTGTTAGAGTCAATCTACACTTTCAGACGAACACAATGTACAGACGCTGTCATTAGAGTGTGTGGAACATGTTATGCTGTGAACCTTTACGATTTGTTTTGCTATGCTGCAGGTACCTGACAGCTGTGCGAGCTAAATTGACATGAGGGGCCGGACTACATGGAGTTATGCACCAGGAGCCAGTCTCATTGGCTCCTGAGGGAGAGGCCGGGCCTGTACTTGGAGTGTACAGTGAACTTTGTCCTGTTGCACTAGTGTTAATGAATTGTATGAATGTATTAAATAACGCTACACTCTTATTGCTAGTTGAATGCACAATCAAATTACCTAATGGGACATGGGATGTGCAGAACTGATGGGAGTTTAGAGAGAGCTCAGCTGTGCATAAAAATGGGAACAAGGAAATTCTGCGGCAGCCCTGACTAATGCCTAGAACAATAAGAGCTGGCACTGTTGGCAGGCGCACACACACACACATACATCATGGGTTCAAGAAGCCAACCAAGCCTGTTTGTCTGTTTGTCATCACACGTCACACTTTTCTATGTGGCCTAGGTTGTTATTAGGAATCTCTGCATGTTGACAGCTTTTATTACCCTGTCTGTTACACTACAGTGTAGGTCAATCATTAGCGTACAGCAAGGTAAGACATCACATAACGCTGAAACATGAGCCAGAGGCTCCAGCGCAGCTCTGCAAATAGAGGCTTCATAATGTGCATGCACAGAAATTGCTAGAAAGAGTATGTTGTGTTGAATGCGGGGCTCACCAGCACTGCTTTTGACACAGACGTCCACCCTACCAAGACACTCCTTATGGGCGCCAGCACCACATTTGGAGCAGCGGTACCCTTGATAGAAGACTCCTCTGAGAAAATGATCAATAAATAGAATGATGGATAGATGAAACAATATATGGATAGATATATAGAACAATAAATAGAATGATGGAACAACAGACAGTATGACAGAACGACAGAGCGAAAGAGCGACAGACAGACAGACAGACAGACATATAGATAGATAGATAGATTAGATAGATAGATAGATAGATAGATAGATAGATGATAGATAGATAGATAGATAGATAGATAGATAGATAGATAGATAGATAGATAGATAGATAGATAGATAGATAGATAGATAGATTTTTCATTACACAACTATTCAGGAATGATCTACAAGTTTTTAGCCACACCCACATACTCTACTATGATTTGGACCATATAAGCATCCATCAATTCTGAAATCACTGAAGTGATGATGATACATACACTTGATTTACCTCTGTCACTCTCTTTCCCTCTCTCACTTCTCTAGGTGCATAATCGATCTCATTAAGGTGCATTAATGTGTAGTCTGTGTCATTTCACAAAGCCTCTATGGTGAGCTCACCTCAGCAGCATTTCACACGAGCTGCAGGATGTGGTCGTCTCAAAAGTGTGCATTCGGAACTCATGGAAATTACTTTTCCCGCTCTCTGGACAGATGTTCGATCTGTTGAGACAGAAAGAGAGAGAGAAAGTGGGTGTTAAAAACAAGTCCTTTTTGCATAACCATTACTCATGAACACAGAACTGCTCGTTTCCATCTGTCGCCCTGCTCCCGCCATCCAATCAGCTGTGAATTTCTCTTAAGACACATAAGGGTAACTAGATATTTGCATTTTCTGAAGAAAAAAAAAAGTTGCGAACATGTTCAATGTCAATGCCACAAAGCTAGGATGCTACTTGAATCTCTGAACGTACTGCACATACTATAAAACATATTTAAAATGACATTTCGAAGTATATTCAAACTAATGTTTTGTTTTATTATATTATGTAGTAAGGTAGATAATGTTCTCGATTTTGAAATAAATTGATTTATAAATTGTTATTGAAGACACAGGAATAAATTACATTTTAAAATCATTTAACATAGAAAGCAATAGTGATGCTGTTTTAGTGTGCACTACTAATTACAGCATCAGCTGGGCAGGAGTCATAATGCCGTCTATGGAACTATTACTGTTTTATAATCCAAAACCCTCCACCCCCTTTCTGTTTTTCCATCTCTATCTCATCCAATAACCCTTGAGCGGTGAGTGCCCTTATAATAAAGGCGTAAACAAATGACGAACAGATGAGAGAGCTGTCTGTGCGTGCTGATGTCATGTCATTAGCGCTCGGTAACAGCACTGATATCCAATCAGCTTTCAGCCGCAGACTGATCTGATGACACATGACAGAGAGAAAGTGTGCACTGACTCACCACTGTTCTCCAGAATTAATGAGCCCTTCAGATAAATCTGTTAAAAACAAGTTATCTAATTAATCAGAGCCCTGTCTCCTGTCTTTGGTGCATTACAGTTTTTTTCTCTCGCCTTATCCCAAGCGTTTTTTTCGTGGATGTGCCCTTTTTGGATATGCATGACATCTGAAATTTGGAAGATTACTTGACTGATGGTTTATTGCAGTTTTCATCTGCATTTTACTGATTGTTGCTGTCAACAGCCAGGAATTATAAATATATTTTCTCACTCTCTTTCTCTCTTTTTTTCTCATAGGTACGCAGTGGGATCACTTATTGCCTAGTATTTCATAATACAAAGATTTACTTAAATCTGACTCTCCTAAGAATAGTAAATGGAATCAAATTAAAGTGAAGGAAGATAAAACGCATCTGGATGTGTATAAATTAAAAGGGAAATATCATAGAAAACAGGATTTCTTTTGCACTTTTGAAATAAAAGAATTTGATACACCATGTAGACATATTCTAATGTGCAACATGACATCAGAACCCACCCATTTGTTTCTGTTTTTAACATGTAGAAATGTTTAAAGCATGGTATTTGAACAAAAATAGCTTGTTTAAAGGAACAGTTCACCCAAATAAATGACAACTGTTCAATTATTTGCTCATCCTCATGTTGTTTCAGATCCATGCAAATTTTGAATAATAAACTGGTCACTATTTTCCATAAAACTACAATAAATAAAGCATCAAAAAGAATTAAAGTACCATAAAATGAACATAAATGTGGTCCATGTGCTAGATTCCAAGTCTTCTGAAGTCATATGATAGTTTTAAGTGACTCTGTATTTCCAATTTGTGACAGTTGATACAGTTAGGACTCAGCTGATACAGTTTACAAACTGAAAGATTCGTTCAGAAAGCAGATTGATCAGGTTAAACTCACTTACTCAATGATTCAGTCCCAGTGATTACCGAGTTCTTAAGTTAAAGATTATCAATGAATAACACCTTTGTTATTGAAATTGGAGTCTGTTTGTCACACAAAGCAATCATATGGCTTTTTAAGATGTGAAACATAGTGCACAAGTCGTATGGGCCACTTTTATTATTATACTTTTGCAGAGCAATTTTTTTAAGCTTGAAAGCTCCTGTCCCTATTCAATTTTACTGCAAGTGGAAACACAATCATTCTTTATTTGTGTTCCACTGCAGAAAGAAAGCCATACAGGTTTGGAACAACATGCGGGTCATGAATTAAACATTTCAGTGAGCTATCCCTGTAAAGATCAGAGAGAGGGTGAAAAAACGGTCATACAACACTAAATTACAACTTTTTTTTGGTGCAAGAAACATTATAAGTGGACTTTAAGGATATAAATACCTGTTGCAAAAGTGCCGAATATATCTTTTTTAAAACAACCAAACTAACTAAAAGAAAAAGACTTGGTATATACTAGTCTATCTGCAAAACTGAACCAACCACTCTGATGGAATGAAAACAATTTGGGTCACATGTTTTATAAGGTACACTGCTGCAAAAATGCTTGGCTAAGCAAGTCTGTCCTCATTACTGCATTTGTTCTGTAGTAAAAAATAAACACTAATGGTGTTTTAGTCTTGAATCAGGGCCAGGACATACTGTCGTAGCTAAATCATGCTTTTGTGTCTGTTGTCAAGACAGATAACAAACCTGAAAAACAAGTGCAGAGCTTCAGAGACAACAAAAGACACACTCACAATGCCATGCCAAACTGCTCCAGCCATTTCTTCTTTAGTTCCTTGGTTTTAAAGAAGAACTCAAAGCCATTTTGACCCTGATTGTGTGTGAGGTAGAATCCGTGACACCACTGGAAGAGAAAGAGAAGGCAAGAACATCCATTTTTTAAATGCAAAACACACACATGCACAGATAAAGCGAAGACAAACACCGTCTTAAAGCCGTTTGAAGACGCTCTAACAAGGATGAGAGTACAAAGCTCTGTTTGTAGACCACATGATGGTGCGAGGGGGTCACTATTGTTTATGCAAGACTGACGAAATGTTATTATCAAATCTAGCAGGGTCATCCTGTTATCGTCTGTTGGCATTGTGTTGACGTTTACATCATATTGCAACTGATGTAGATATTGACTTCACTGAACAAGTGGATCAGATTTCATCACTCGAAAGAAATGACAGTGTGGACAGTCGGATTTGAAAAACAAACATCTTTTTTGTGTGCAATGTGAACAAAAGCATAGAGAATGCAGCTCAATAAGCTGTTACGCATCTGGACTCGAGGCCTGTCTGTCTGAAAGTACTCGATTAATGAACAGCAAGGGATTTGACTGGAAAAATTAGATTTTGAAAGCCTCTATGGCCTGGCATTAACATGCTTTTTGTATGCGAATATTATGAACACTACCGTTCAAAGGTTTAGGCCCCCTTTTTCATATTTTTCAAATCTATTATGTTCACCAAGGGTGCATTTATTTGATTAAAAAAATACAGTAAATACAGTAATATTGCAAAATATTCTTAAACTCTTATTAAACTCTTTCTATTTTAAAATATTTTTAAAATGTAATTTATTTGTGTGATGGCAAAGCTGAATTTTCAGCATCATTACTCCAGTCTTCAGTGTCACATGATCCTTCAGAAATAATTCTAATATGCTACTCAAAAAAACATTCTTTATTATCAATGTTAAAAACAGTTTTGCTGCTTAATATTTTTTTACGATTCTTTGATGAGCATTGAGCATTCAAAAGAATAGCATTTGAATTAGAAATGATTTGCAACATTATAAATCGGTTTACTGTCACATCTAATCAAATTAATGCATCCTTGAAATGAGAGATATGTTAAATAACTTAAAAAAAATAATAATAATAAATTGCTGAGTAGATCATGTGAGGTGATCACAAGAATGCAGTATCTGTTTTTTTTTTTTTGTAATATAATAAAAAGCAAATACCTCCAAATTTGGGATTTTTTTCACTCATATTATTATTAGCCAGGACTCTGATCGCTTAAATGAACAAGAACACCTTCTCTCAACAAGTCGGACAATTTGAGGCATCATCATTCACAAAAGTACCCTAGAGTAACCCTAATAATAATAGTGATGTTTACATTGCATATGTTTACCAGCATCATTTCTCAATAAAACTCTTTCTTAAGTAAAGATCATGTTCCATGAAGATATTTTGTAAATTTCCTACCGTAAATATATCAAAACTTAATTTTTGATTAGTAATATGCATTGCTAAAGACTTCACTTGGACAACTTTAAAAGTGATTTTCTCAATATTTTGATTTTTTTTGCACCCTCAGATTCCAGATTGTCAAATAGTTATATCTCGGCCAAATATTGTCCGATCCTAACAAACCATACATCAATTGAAAACTTGTTTATTCAGCCTTCAGATGGTGTATAAATCTAAATTTTGAAAAATTGACACTTAAGACTGGTTTTGTGTTTTGAAATTGAAATTTCAAAAATGTTTGAAATTGAATACATTTTATTGTAATATAGTTGGATATAATGCAACATTTCATTTTGGACAATGTCCCTCAATCTAGTTTGATTTCATATTAAAAATTTGGGTAATTCTGGTATAAACTATACAATAATGGGGAGCTAAATGTGTGTATGAGAGCAAAAAGCAAGGTGTAGGTGTCAGGCGAAGACTGTAAAAGGCTCAATGTGTCATTTTATGGTTCATATGAGCGCTCACACTGGTCCAGACTTCTCAGTGGACCACTATCCAGAAGTCCCTGCAACACACAGCTTATGAAATGGACATTCAAAACAGTCAACTCACCTTCATGGCGTCCAGCGCTTGCCGTAAATTACTCTTGTCTGTGCCATCATGGGTGTGTTTCACCAGTTCCTGTCAGGAAGAAAGCGGGATATGAGATGGCTGAGTATTCACGGCCCGTGTCTCAGTGTCTTATTATCACCAGATGATGATGAACACAGCAGACAGTCAGATGTACAGGAGCGAAGCCATGTTGGAGGACATCTGTCACTCTCGCACGCTCTCATAACTCCTACTCATCACCGTGCAGATTGTTTACCAACAATTCAGAGGGAAAATTTACATAGAAGTCATCTGAAATATAACGTCATGCTCTAGTGTTTTGAATTCAGATGACACAAGTAATTGCGTTATATCAGGGTGATAATTTGTCTTAAAATAAAATAAAAAAATGTTGTCTTCATATGATTTGAAAAACAAAAATAGCTAAATTATTGGCCTGGCATTTTTTTTATCACTTAAATATTTGCTACATGAGCAGTACATAAACCTTCAAAAATAAATCACAAAAATTATTCCTCCAAAACACTCCTATTATACATTCCCTGGCAATTATAGTTGATAGCAAAACTATACACTAATGTTTAAAATTACATTTAATGAATTAAAATGAAATTAATAAATATACTAACCAAGGAATTGAACCCAGGAGGAAATGTTTTTATGGGATTTCCTATATTTAATATTAGTTGAGCAGGATTGTGTGTTAATAAAGTTTAATAAACCTGTAATAAGTTACTTCACAGGTTACATAAAAATATTTTTAATTGATTTTACATGTATATTCATCAATTTCTACAAAAAAAACAGGAGGCTAAGGCTAAAAAAATAAAATAAAATAAAATAAAAGTGATAATGGGGTAAGCATTAGAATACAATGATAATAGAAACATACACAGAGTGGCATGCCTTCCTATCTTTCTCTTTTGGCCACACACACACACACAATCTGAAATAATATCCCAACCTGCATCGCAGGTTCAAGAATTGAAATGAGAAGCAAAATGTTTTTGTGGGGTTGAAATTGCCTTCCTGCTCCAGGATGAAGTAAACAAGACATCTGGGCCAGTCTGTAGGATAAGGGAGGGTGCTATGAATGTCCTGATAAATGGCTTCCTTTTGGCCTAAGAGATATATTGCCATCCAGCACAAGCCAAATCCCCTGTGTCAGTCAAGCTGAACCTGCGCATTATTATCAGCAGAAAGACGGACATCACCTTATTTTTCATTCTCACTTCCTTCTGCCCTCACACAGCGAGAGAGAGAGAGATAGAGACAGAGAAAGGAGGTATGACACTAACACAGAGATTACTGCAGAAATAAAATGCAGCCAATCTCTTATCCAATAGTTTGCAGAATTCCAGGAGAATATCATTCAATGTGATTTCACAGGCCAGCATCGCAGTATTGTAATGTCTGGTCCACTTTGTACCTTTTTATGTCCAATAACTACCCAATTGTTCAAACTCTGCTCAAGATTTGTTGCATCACAGTTGCTCTTCACCAACTTCTGGTTGCTTTGTTGCTGTCATACAATATTACCACTTTAAACTGATATTTATTGCCTTAGCTCATAAAATGCATCACTGTAACTTTTACATCCTGATTTACAACCATTACTTTGACAACCCCTTCTTAGTACGGTTACAGTAAAAAATATGATTTTCAAAATCTGGGCATATACTATCATTCAAAAGTTTGGAGTCGGTAAAATTGTTTTAAGGCTTTTGGAAGAAGTCTCATGCTCACCAAGGCATTTATTTGATTAAAAAAAACAGTTAAAACAGTAATATAGTGAAATAGTATTACAATTTAAAATAACTGTTTAATATGTGATAACAAAGCTGAATTTTCAGCAGCCATTACTCCACTCTTCAGTGTTACATGAACCTTTCATGGTTACTACTGTAACCTATTAAAAACACTGTTGTCCATTAAAATTAAACTAAAATAAAATTGAATATAAACATTCTAAACTTAAACTAAATGTAAATTAGAAATGTTGCCTTGTCAACTTACTAAAAAAAGTTTAAGTTGAGGCACTAAAATTGGAACTGGAAATAACTAAAAACTAAAACTACAATAAAAATAACTTCAACATATATTTGAAAAACAAAAGCTAATAAAAATTACAAAAGTGCATAACAAAATTACTAAAAATTAAAATATGAAATGAAAAAAGAAAATAAAAGCTACTTCAAATTGATTTCCTTCAGAAATTCTGGCTCAGGAAACATTTTTCATTATTTTCAATGTTGAAAACACTTGTGCTGCTTAATATTTCTGTGGAAACTATTATTAAAAAAATTTCGGAAATTGTTGAATAGAAAGTGCAAAGAAGAGCATTTATTTGAAATAAATGTATTTGCAAATGTAAAAGTTTAATAATAGTATTAATTTATTATCCCCCCCAAAAAATTTATGTAAAAATAAAGAAGTACAAAAATAAATAATCATTTTGCATAAAATGAAGAATAATTATTTAAGATTATTTAATTTAAATATATAAAGATTAGAATCTGTCATAATAGATTAGTTATGAATTTTGATTATAACTCATTATGTAAATCTGGTTTGCTCTTTCTCTCACTGGCCAAGGCTTCCTCCAGCAGAGCAAAGAGCAGAGAAAGACAGTCTGTTACACGCTAGCCTGCTCTCCAGAGGGGCAGCAGACAGACAGACAGACAGACACTCTATCTGCGCTGCCTGCCTCTCTCTCACACACACACACACACACACACACACATTCCCTAAACCCACAACTGGCCAGATGGGCAGGGACGTGAACTGAGCTGTGGACAGTCTTGCAGGCATTCTAAATAGATGCATGCACACACACACACACACAGAAAACACCTTCGCTGTTCTGTCTGCTGAGAGCCAAAAGGTTCCTGCAACAACAGGAGGATCGTGGTGGCTTCAGTTCACACACGCGATGCACATCTCCTACTCTCTGCTTTTTTATTTCTCTCTCGCCTTCATTCATATTTATTTCTAAGTCCCCTCATAGCTGGGTCATGCAGTAGACCTAACGTGTGATGGACAGAGACACACTATGAAATATTCATGGCAGTCTGCGTGAGATGTTTGTGGAAAAGGGCCAGATCAAACATACGCGACTGGATAAAGCATGCTGCTTTTCCATTATGTGGATTATACTGCCCCTACTGGAGGAATCGGGGATATATTACACTGCCCCTACTGTTGGATTTCAAACCTGTATTATGCTGCTTCTCTGTGGAAGAGTAAAACATGGACTCCACTGTAGCAAGAGAGAGTGAAACAGAGGACATTTTATGACTTGCAACCCAAACCATGTTTATATGTAAAGCATTTCAGTAAACTCACCTGCGGTTGTACCAGCTCAACCTTCATCAGGTCTTCATACACCTCTCCTCCCTCATCATCATCGTACACACAGTCATAGAGATCTTCCTCATCTTCAACGCCATTCTCACTGAGACGCACAGAGCTTTTTAGTGCTCCTCCAAAGGTTTGTTTAGTACATAAACTTTTTGGTTCCAAACCAAAGACTACAGTCAGATACAGTTAGCTTACAATAAACTGAGAGAAATGGATGGACGATGGAACAGAAAAACCCCTTAAGAGGACAGCAAGATGTGTTTAAATGCTTCCGCATATCCGATATACTGGCGAAAAAGAGAAATATAAGGAAAAAATGAAACAATAGTGGGCAACGTATAAAACGGCGCTTTGAAACGAATGTGAATTGCAAACCACAGATAATTTGGTCTCGTAAGAATATGGTGAAAAATTTGTGCATTTTGAAATCCCTGACTTTTGCAAATCTGAGCCAGGATATCTAGAGCACAGTTTGAGACATTGTTGAGATTTCTTATGAAACTTCAGGAGAATAACCTGAGGATCAAAATCTCCATTTGATCTCCGTTTAACTTCACTGCTGTTTAGGCGAAACAACTGAGACATTAAAGAGATCTGAAATGTCTTTCCTATGGGTGTGTGTTTCTACATTCAGGTCAGGTGGTGTTTTATGGGTGGTGTAGCAACTGTGATCTCATATGACAGTGTGATTCAGCTACTATTTCCCTAAATATACTGACATTCACTCACTGACTGACACACACAGTAGGAGTGGCTTATGTGGCTAGAAATGTAGTGCACTCATAATTGAGAGATCAGGAAAGTATAACACTTCTGGACTGTGGTGTGACAAAATAGCAGATCAAGTGGCACCTCAGGGCTCTTCGTGGTCCTGTAATCCTATGACCGTGTTTGTTGTTGCCTGTCTGCTGGAATAAGAGACCCTATACGTGGCAGTAGTGGGAACAAGAGGACACAGGCCAGAGGCAAAATCTGACAGTTTACGTCTGAGGCTGTTACCTTAACAGTTGTACAGCGGCAATAACCCTCGGTGTGTGTGTGTGTGTATATATACTGTATATGTCATTCTATGAATCAGTTGATTTCAACATTGTAAACATTCCATCATATAAACACTGTTTTTAAAGTGTTAGTACATTTTGATGCACCATCTCACGATTAATTAATAAATGTTAATACACTAAGCAAAACATCAACCTAAGCACTCCTATGTGCTCCAGCCTGAGGTTCCTATATCTAACAGAGAGTGTAAAGTGAGCCAAAGGTTCAAATATCAGGAGGAAGAGAAACACTGTAAGCAAAAAAAAAAAAAAGACTCACTCTATCAGATCCTCTAGATGGTTATAAATGTCCTCATCCTCAACACTCTCTTCTGTGGGAAACGCCCTAGAATAGAATGAGGGAGATGCAGAGAGAGATAAAAATATGAATTTTCATCTGCTGCACTCTTAAAATAGTTAGAATGATTCATTTCGTCTTTTTCAAATACCTTATTCCAGTCTGCTGTGCAATGTGTGTATGAGAGAGTTTGGACAGTGTGTCCATAACCTAAGAGGAAAAGACAAGAAAAATAATCATTATTTGTTAAGTAAAGGACAACAGTATACAATTAGACAGTTAGTATTGTTAACTACACTGCTACTTACTAAATAAATGGGCATGAAATATTGATTAGAGCCAACATGAAACTACCACAGATATGGGCCAATAATCAATTATACAGTTTAGCGGTCATTAAACAAAATTATTTGACCACCAAATTTCACCATTTTCAGAATTAAGCCATGTAAAAAATTATGTTCCCTATAACACAACATAAAAAGTAATACTCCAGAAACATGGTCATTTATATGCACTTACATATAAATAGGCTTATTTATTTTTCATTATAAAATACCCATCAAGTATGATATAATGAAATATGCTTGTAAATGTTAAAGATTATTATCATAATTTTTAAGGCAGACAAAAGCAGCAATGCAACATTAGTACCAGCAGGGGTCAGTGTGCATCAACATTTAAATGTCAGCCTCTGACACGAAAAGAATGAAATTCATAATTTGTGCTCTATATTACCACCAAGCAGCTCTTTATATTAACACATCAAAGCCATCAGCTTAATGCAAACAGACACAAACCTGGTCAAGCAAATATATGCACAAATACAGCACTGTTAAAAATCACCAATTAACACGCAAATATGTGCCTTTTTATAACGCACAATGTTCAGCTGTATTCAGATTTGCATTTCTATGATGAGCACATGGGTAATTTGAGCATTCAAACTCATAGCGCCCCGGGGAAGATGTGTGCAGAAATCAAATGAATACAGAGAGAGAGCATGGAACCGTCAATCTCTGAAAGAAAGAAAGTGAAAGATGCTCATCCTGTCTTTCTAGATTCAGTCTTGCAAAGAGATCTGATCCAACATTTGACCTTATATGCAACCAGCCTGACATGTTAAGGGGAAATAATTTATCATAATTCATCTGCATTGTTGGAGAACCAGTCAGCATGGCCTTTTGTGAACAAATGTGTCAGTTTTGAACCTGAAACCTTCATTTTAAGGACTTTCTGTGCATTTCCTACAAGAAAAGGCACTAAATGATGTTATCAAAACGTTTTAATGGTTGAACCTTTAGGATTTTCTTTCTTCAGTGGAACACAAAAGAAGAAGAAGTTTAAAGCAATACTTCACCCAAAAATGACAATTTGCTGAAAATGATCTCACTCTCAGGCCATCTGAGATATAGATGAGTTTGTTTCTTCATCAGAACAGATTTGGAGAAATTTAGCATTACATCACTTGCTCACCAATGGATCCTCTGCAGTGAATGGGTGCCGTCAGAATGAGAGACCAAACAGCTGATAAAAAATCACAATAATCCACAAGTAACACACACTACTCGTAAAGGCCAGAAGCAACAGTTTAAAGTTAAAACACCTGAATGATGGATTTGTTTATTACAAAAACAGCTTTTTACTTCACAAAACATAAATTAATGGACTGGAGTCGTGTGGATTACTTGTGGATTATTGCAATGTTTTTATAAGCTGTTTGGACTCTCATTCTGACGGCACCCATTCACTTCAGAGGATCCATTGTTGGGCAAGTGATGTAGTGCTACATTTCTACAAATCTGTCTCGGCAAGGAAGCAAACTCTAAATCTAAATATTGGATCATCATCTAAATCTTTAACTATGTTCACACTGTTCTTTTGCATACAATGAAGTCTAATGGTGACCAGGAGCTTTCAATCTCCAAAAATGACCACAAAAGCAGTTCATATGACTAACACACTACTTTCCAAGTCTTCTGAAATTATACAACAGCTTTTAAGCCACATGGACTGCTTTTATGGTTTTTAATTGTGCTTTCTTGTTATTTTTTGATGAGTGACAGCCCCTGGTCACATTCAGTTTCATTGTGTGCAAAAGAGCAGCACAAGCATACCGTCTAACATTTCTTGTTGTGTTTAACAAAAAAAGAAAATCATCCAGGTTTGGAACAAGATAATGTTTTTCTTCAAAAAGCAAAAACTCTTTCTGTCACCTCACTTACCCAAAAACACACGTTCGGGGAATATAAAACGGTCTGTCTATCTGTTCGTTCATGTCATATACGTTTCGTTTGGGAAATCTCAACTGGGATTTCCACCCTTCCACCCTCATATCAGCCCCTCGCTATATTGTAACACTTACGCTTCTAAAAGGAAATGGCATGATTTGTATTCGGCCTATCAGTATGTTCCACTTGGTTTGGCAGTAAACACCCTGTAAATGTAGCGTTAGGCTTTTCACAAATACTGGATGCAGACATATCAGCGCTGAAAGAAGATGTGCATGCAAACACAGGAAGTTATAATGAAGTTAAAAGAGATGAATGGTTTGTCTGGCTTCCTGTTCAGGTGAGGAGCTGTACACTATGGCTAAAACAAACTGAGAAAATCTCAATGTGCAAGTGTTAATTCTGTACAAGCATAACAACCTTTCATTGTGTTTCTCATTAAAACCGGCACAGAACAGGAAGACCAAAAATGGAGCTGGTGCAAACTAAGCAATGGTTATACTTTCACTTTCAAGAGGTAATAGACCATCAGGCCATCTCTCGTCATTGCAAAAAAATAGCACAGAGCTTTTTATGAAGTGTGCTAGGGAAAATTTGAGTGCCTGCCATTCTACATTTAGAAAAGGGAAGATGCATTGAGAGTTTAAGACAGACGGACCATTAAAATAGAACAACTGAACAAATCTATATAGAGAAAAGCCCCTTTATTTCTAGGATCTGATTGCATCTGTAAGGGCTTACATAACATGGTGAAAAAGAGGAAAGGGTGGAACTGTCTCGAACAGATGGTGTGCTTCAAAGACCCCCTGTAAACCCAGCAGAAGTGAATCAGGGTGGGTCCGCGACCTCAGACTGTTTCCTGAGGATTCCAATTACTGTGGGAACGTTTCTTTCTACGAATATTTAAGGGGTTTTCTCTGAAAAAAATCTCTCTGTTTCTTTTAAAAGTAAACAGAGATGAAAGTTTCCAGGTTGGTTTGTAGATGCAGATTCACTGGAGTGACTGAAATAAGATTTCGGTATCACTCTTAAGTGTGCTAAGTGAGTCTGTTGAAGTCTGGTTTTATATTCTTATTTATATTCTTAAAAAAAACATTGTGGCTTTTCTCCCATTTATAATTCAACACAAAGATTTCATGAGAACAGAGAACTTTTTATTCAGACTGAATCAGATCATGATTTACAAGTAATAAACATGTTAAGTTTACAACATAAACAAGTTAATATCAAAACCTATTTAGCATTTTTGGGTCTTAAAATTTAATAATATGATATAATATAATATAATATAATATAATATAATATAATATAATATAATATAATAAATGGATGAAATTTTTTTTTTAATTTTTTTAACACACACATAATGTTTTAAGTCCCAAAAAAATTTTAATGAAATATTAAAGGAAGATGAGAATGTATGAACTGATGTGTACAGGCTACTTGCTTAATAAATGGACATGAAATATTGATTAGAGAAATGACTATAGTGCATGAGAAGAAAGAGACCACATGAAACTGGGTCAATAATCAATTATACCATTTAGCAGTCATTAGACAAAAATAGTCAGTAGCAGTATTCACCATTGAAGTCCTAAAATTGTCTCTTAATATTAAATTGTTTCCTCCCCATTTTGTATTTAAATGTATGCATCATCAGGCATTGTGAACATACAAATCAGACGGACAGTCAGTGGGAAAAAAAATCTGCCTCACAATGCCAGATTTCCTGACGTCAGTTAAACTAAGTGGGCTGCAAGTTGAAGTACAAATAATTAAAACACTTCAAGGAACCGCAGTCTCCGCTGTTGAATCACAGGCACCAGGTCCAGGGAGATTTAAAATCACTGATGTCTATAAACACCATCTGATTAAAACAAATATGTCAGCCTCTAGTCAGTGAAAGGAGGTGCTTAATCTTTAGAAAATGTGGACTGTCAACATCAGAGGGTTAAACTAAATATTATATTAAGACATTATTTGGGTCTAAACACAGTTTGATTTGAGTGGTTTATTTTCTAGCAACAAAGCTAAAACAAAGCTATGTTTAAAACTAGATTTTTCATGCTAGGTAATTTTAAAAGCAAATACACCATTGAAAAGTGTCACCCATATCATCTCCCATCTATCATCAAACTGCAAGAGCATGTTTCCTGTCTGTCTCTTGTCTTGTCTTTATCGGTCTCAATCTATTCCCTGCCCTTTAATGTCTCAAGTACAGAGCATGACACAGATAAACTAATCAGGTAGTCCTTGTTTGGCATCAACAGTCCACATAAGGTCACTGGAAAGATCCATTCAAGTACAATTACAAAAGTGCAGGTGCACACACAGACATGCACAGATGCACAGGTACAAACAGTTTCATATTTACTGGACAGCCAATTAATATGCAAATATTAGAAAAGTTCTGACTCCTACTTAAAGCTATGTAAAGCATAAGAAGCATCCACACATGGGGATCTGAGTGAGTGTGAAACAGGCAGTGGGAGGGAAATTTGGATGCTTTAGTTCTAGTCCTGTCCAGATGTTCAGTACAACAGAAGAGTGAGACACTTAATATACAGCAAAACGGATACAGTTTATTTGCAATAAATAAAAGACTAAAAGTATCGTTCACTCTGGATCCTGTTTACAGTATTTTGTGGTACTCTGTGTAGATTTATTATTACTTATTTACAGAATGCATTTGCATGTGTATCATTTTTGAATCACTCTTGGACTCTACAGCCAGCTAATTAAAAGAGATGAGAATGACCATTTTGAACTGATTTTTTTTCCAAATTCCGTTACATTTTTTTTTCCAAATTCCAAATATAATTTTTCTGCATTCCTTTATTTCCATTTTAATATTTCAGGACTAAATCAATGTGATGGACATAATCAAAAAGCATGTATAATTCATTTAAATTATGACATTTTATGGATTTAATACAAATTTATTTTCAAAAACAGTGGTAATCAAATGAAGACATGAAA